GAATTTGTGTAAATAAATAAATAAATCAATATATATATATATATATATATACACACACACACACACACTACCGTTCAAAAGTGTGGGATCAGTAAGATTTTTAATGTTTTTTAATGGAGTCTCTTGTGCTCATCAAGGCTGTATCTATTTGATTAAAAATACAGAAACACTGTAATATTGTGAGATATTATTTCAATTTCTAATACTGGCTTTCTGTTTTATTATACTTTAAACTGTAATTTATTCCTGTGATCAAATTCTGAATTTTCAGCATCATTACTCCAGTCTAAAGTGTCACATGATCCTCAGAAATCATTCTAATATGCTGATTTATTATCAGTGCTGGAAACTGTTGTGCTGCTTCGTATTTTTATTTTTTGCAACTGTGATACTTTTTTCTGGATTATTTTTTGAATAAAAAGTTAAAATGAAAAGCATATGTTTAAAATTAAAGTCTTTTCTAACAATATAAGTCTTTACTATCATTTTTTTTATACATTTAACACATCCTTGCTCAATAAAAGTATTCATTACATTAAAAAAATAAATAAAGAAAAAAATTTACTGACCCAAAACTTTTGAACGGTAGTGTATATTGTAACACAAGATTTCCATTTTGAATAAATGCTGTTTTTTAATTTTACATTCATAAAAGAATCCTGAAAAAAGCATCACACAAGTTCCAAAAAACATGAAGCAGCACAACAGTTTCCAGCACTGATAATAAATCAGCATATTAGAATGATTTCTGAAGATCATGTGACACTGAAGACTGGAGTAATGGCCGATGAGAATTCAGCTTTGCTTTACAGGAATAAATTATATTTTTAAGTATATTAAAATAGAAACTGTTATTTCAAATTGCAGTAATATTTCACAAAATTACAGTTTTTTTTCTGTATTTTTAATCAAATAAATACAGCCTTGATGAGCACAAGAAACTTCTGTAAAAAACATTAAAAATCGTACTGATCCCAAACTTTTGAACGGTAGTGTATAAAAGCAAATTATGTTATATTTTTGTTCAACCCCTTGAATTAAAGCTTAACGTCTGCACTTCAATTTCATCTTTTATTTTTAATTCTGTTCTGGTGGCATACAGTGCCAAAAATTATGGAAATTGTGTCAGTGTCCAAATATATAGTTAGGTCCATATATATTTAGACACACAATTTTCATAATTTCGGCACTGTATGCCACCAGAATATAATTAAAATGAAACTTGTTGCAGTCTGCGTGACAGTTCTTTAGGAAGTATACCCATGACTTTTCGATCCTGTTTACCAAAGTCACGGTGTTCCAGCCTTTTCCTTTTCACCAGGACGTTGTACTCTCCGTTGTAGAAACCGGCTCACTCGTGAATCACAAGAAATACTCCTTGTATTTTCTTAACACAACATCAAATCTCTTCTTGTCACTCACTCTCCTCATTATTTAAATATGTGTTCAGCTTCATTTCCCAAGGCATAGATTAATTAACTGACCTGGACCTAACCGTCTTTTTATCCAATGTTATTATAACACTTTATTATCACTGGGAAACGTGAACACACAAAAACCATCAAGTGTGAACAAGAAACTTCTGTAAAAAACATTAAAAATCGTACTGATCCCAAACTTTTGAACGGTAGTGTATAAAAGCAAATTATGTTATATTTTTGTTCAACCCCTTGAATTAAAGCTTAACGTCTGCACTTCAATTTCATCTTTTATTTTTAATTCTGTTCTGGTGGCATACAGTGCCAAAAATTATGGAAATTGTGTCAGTGTCCAAATATATAGTTAGGTCCATATATATTTAGACACACAATTTTCATAATTTCGGCACTGTATGCCACCAGAATATAATTAAAATGAAACTTGTTGCAGTCTGCGTGACAGTTCTTTAGGAAGTATACCCATGACTTTTCGATCCTGTTTACCAAAGTCACGGTGTTCCAGCCTTTTCCTTTTCACCAGGACGTTGTACTCTCCGTTGTAGAAACCGGCTCACTCGTGAATCACAAGAAATACTCCTTGTATTTTCTTAACACAACATCAAATCTCTTCTTGTCACTCACTCTCCTCATTATTTAAATATGTGTTCAGCTTCATTTCCCAAGGCATAGATTAATTAACTGACCTGGACCTAACCGTCTTTTTATCCAATGTTATTATAACACTTTATTATCACTGGGAAACGTGAACACACAAAAACCATCAAGTGTGATGAACTACCTCCCTAATCACAGTGTAATCACATCCTCTCCCATTACAGTGGCCTTTGACATGCATTGGTTTATAGAGCTCTGTGTTGCAATAAAGGTGAAAAACATTTGGATGGTATTAGACTGCTCTAAAAAATGAATAAAAAATGTTACTGTATTTCATAAGTTTATCTAAATGTTTTGATTTTTCCCTCTTTAGGACTGTGCATGGACTTGCCTGCCCCTGTACATCTGGTCCTGTCTTCACAATATTTTGTCCATTTGTTGTCCTGGAAAATGGGGCCAGGCTCACCTGATGGTGTCCACTATACAGTCAGCGTGCATGCACTCAAGTATGTGATGTACTGTTTTCACACATGGCAAAATAGAACGCAGAAATAAGTAATTTGGTTACTAATTGGAATGTATAATATATATAATTTTTTATATGTTCCATTCCACTTTTGCATTGACACTATTTTTTCCTATTTGATACTGTAAAGTTGCTTTGACACAATCTGTATTGTTAAAAGCGCTATATAAATAAAGGTGACTATATAACGGAATAGAGGGAAATATGCAGGATTTTAGAAACAATACAGCATTATAAAGATATGTTGAGAGGCTATTCCTATTTCTACCTTTAAACCTAACCAAAAGCATTTTTCAGAAATATGTACAGTATAAAGTTAAACATGACAGACATATGAAATTACAATTATTTATGTATTGCAACAATGTCAGAAGAGCTACACCGAAAGTAGTCCAAGCGACAATGTGTTGTGGTCACAGTACTTTCTGGTAGGATATATTAGTTTTGTGTGAGTAACAGCAACATTTAAGTTCTTAATCACTTGAAATATACTTGAGCATACATCAGTGTGAATTACCTAAAGTGACTGAAATTGATTTGAAGTCTAATTTGATTGTTTACTTTAGCTCAGGTCCATCACTTACATAGAGAGGGCGGAGTTTATGACCTATACTGCAGCAAAATTGTTTTGGCTTCACTTTTCAGGACGTGTGAGGCACACTTGATTTAAACGCACATCACAGTATGTGACGAAGCAGGCGAGAGCCAGTGAGCGTTTTGATATCGTTGCTGTAAAACCTTTCATAAAGCTTCTTGATTTGGCAGTTAATGAATTTGTAACGAGCACGGATTTTGGGTCTGTTCCTCGCAATCGTTTGGATTCTAAAGATTTGGATTATAGCTCACAAAACTGATTACTTTTGTGATTTTTATGTTGTGTATTTTATGGTTCTATTGTCAGTTACAGCATGCCTTGTGTGTCCCACAGCAAACAAAATAAAAACTACATTATAAGTAATGGTTAAACGATTACAGAAACGCTATTCATTTTAAGGTTTTGAAGTATAGTAACTTAATCCTTCGCAAGGAGTTGGAAGCACACAGAAGTCACACAGAATAGAATGAAATGTTATCATTTCATATTAAGTAAACTACGTTTTAAAAAATTAAATAGAAAACAATGCCATTTATACGACAACTGAATGCAATATAATCAAAATGATAATGAAACAATTTCAGTATTCATGTAGCCTATTCTGTAAAGTTGCTCATATGAAATTAATTTACATTTTAGATGCTATCGATATGTAAATATTATGTTTAGATGTCACTATTGTACGTTTCAGTGTCTATGCAGACGTAAGTAAATGTGTGGTAGTTCCACACTTTATGTAAAAATACATATAAAAACTCATTAGAGCACGTTGGAAATACAAGTTCAGTTCAATTTGAATGGATGCTAATTCTGATTCTGATTCTGTTCTGTGTTGACAGTCGGGGCGAGGTGGTGGTGAAGGAGTGTGAAAAGGTGACCTTCCCTCTGCAGTGTAATCTCACAAAAGCCTTTTCTGATCTGGAGGACACCTATTACGTCAGTGTGTCTGCTGCTCTGGGCAACCTTACCTCACCATCTTCCTTCTGCAACCCATTCAAACCCATTTATAACAGTAAGAGAGAGACAGTTTCCTGTGATTATTATTTGGACTATTTTTATTTATAGGCCTACATGAACCACAAAACATGCCCCATGGTTACGATCTTGGATTAATGTAAAGCTTCTGTAATACTTGTTTGGGGGGTTAATTATACAGGTCTTATACATCAAGTCTAGTCAAGGCACCTTTATATATGTGACCCTGGAGCACAAAACCAGTCTCAAGTCGCTTGGGTATATTTTTAGCAATAGCCAAAAAAACATTGTATGGGTCAAAATTATCGATGTTTCTTTTATGTCAAAAATCATTAGGATATTAAGTAAAGATCATGTTCCATGAAGATACTTTGTAAATTTCCTACCGTAAATATATCAAAACTTAATTTTTGATTAGTAATATGCATTGCTAAGAACTTCATTTGGACAACTTTAAAGATGATTTTCTCAATATTTAGATTTTTTTGCACCCTCAGATTCCAGATTTTCAAATAGTTGTATCTCAGCCAAATATTGTCCTAACAAACCATAAATCAATGGAAAGCTTATTTATTCAGCTTTCTGATGATGTATAAATCTCAATTTCGAGAAATTGACCCTTATGACTGGTTTTGTGGTCCAGGGTCACATACTGTATGTAGCTCTTTATACAATACAGTTTGTTTCAAAGCCAATAGCTTTGATAGACAATAGTAAACAATAGTCATTATTTGGTTGAAATCAGTTCATTGTTGATTCAGTTTGACTCGATAACTGGGGTGCGTTTCCCAAAAGCATTGTTAGCTTACTATTGTCGCAAGTTCCATTGAACTCTATTGGTAACGACGGAACTTGCGACTATAGGTGCTTTTGTGAAATGCACCCCTGCTCAGCATAGTTCAGTTCTCATCCAACAGTGTCTGTGTAGTCAAGTGGGGTGGGGGGGTGGGGGGGGGTTCTCCTTTGGCCAGACAAACCAACGTGATTTGGTTTAATTCCAGGCTGTAACACAAGATTATGGACTGATATCTTTCAGAACAGTTCATCCAGTTTCTTCTCCTTTGAAAATCAGGATATATCAGCCAGCTGTTGGTGGGGGGAATCGAAGCTGGCCATAGGGTCTGTGCAGAAGACTTGTCTGGTTCTCATGGTTTCAAAAAACTCGTCCAATTGTCTATGAAACCTATGTTATTCTGCGGGCACCTCTGCAATCTTACTGAATTTACATTTAGAATTAGCCAGCACTTTTAAATTGGCCAAGATGTCAGGCGCTCTGGCTCCCGGTAAACATTGGACTATGGTGGCTGGTGTCTCTATTTTCACGTTCTGTACAATAGAATCGCCAATAACTAGAGCACTATACTGCCTCACAGTCGCCCAGTCGTGGGGCTCTGCAACTGGAACGGTTCAGTTGTGCGGGACTTGCTAAGACTTGCAAAGTTTGGATGTGTGTCTCTAGTTCTGAAATCTTCTCTGTTAGCCTGACTGTCCCCCTGCATTTATCACATGTGAATCCCTCACCGCTGACAGAGAAGGCTACACTAAACATGTGGCAAGCAGTGCAAGTGACAACAAAAGAAGTAGCAGCTATAAACCTCCGGCTTGCTTAGTTGGGGACACTTAATATCCAGCGATATTGTCAACTTGATTGCAAATAATATTATTTAAACTGAACTGAGCTGGATGATGACATCACTGAATTCAATGATAATTTGAAAATTGAGAGTTTACTATTGTCCTTTTGCATCATTGATACACTACTGTCCTATTAATACTGTAAAGCTGCTTTGACACAGTCTGTATTGTTAAAAGCACTATATAGATAAAGGTGACTTGACTTGACTATGACTCACCGTGATTGATTCCAACTTGTAAAAGATGGAGTGCGAGAGAGAGAGAGAAAAGAGATGGTCAAGCACAAATGACAATTTAACAGGCTAGCGAAATGCTAATGCACTGCTCTAGTGGTTTAGATTATAAAGCTAGCGATGTCAAAGTAATTTGATAGACAATATCACATTATATATAGTGCCGTGAAAAGGTTTTTGCTCCCTTCTTGTTTTTTATTTTTATTTTTTGCGTATTTGTCACACTTAAAAGATTCAGATCATCAAACACATTTTAATATTACACAAAGATAATGCAAGCAAATACAAAATGCAGTTTTTAAATGATGATTTCATTTATTAAGGGAAAAAAGCTGTCCAAACTTACTTGGCCCTACGTGAAAAATTAACTGCCCCCTCCTGTTAAATCACTAAAGAACTGTGATTAACCACATTATTTTAGAAAGCTGAGTTAAATTTCACTAACCAACACAGCATTTCATAAAAAGAACATCATCCCAACAGTCAAACATGGTGGTGGATGGAAGCATGAATTCTGCACTCTATCAGAAAATCCTGAAGGAGAATGTCCAGCCGTCAGTTTGTGACCTCAAGCTCAACCGCACTTGGGTTATGCAGCAGGACAATGATCCCAAAAACACCAGCAAGTCCAGCTCTGAAAGTCTCCAGAAAAACAAAGTTAAGGTTTTGCAGCCAAGTCAAAGTCCGGACTTGAATCCGATTGAGATGCTGTGGCATGACCTTAAACAGTCCATTCATACTCGAAAACCCTCCAATGTTGCTGAATTAAAACAATTCTGCAAAGAAGAGTGGGCCAAAATTCCTCCACAGTGATGTGAAAGACTCATTGCCAGTTATCGCAAATGCTTGATTGCAGTTGTTGCTGCAAAGGGAGGCAAAACCAGTTATTAGATTTAGGGGGCAATTACTTTTTCACATAGGGCCAGGCAGGTTTGGACAGCTTTTTTCCCTTAATAAATGAAATCATTATTTCAAAACTGCATTTTGTATTTACTCGCGTTATCTTTGTGTAATATAAAAATTTGTTTGATGATCTGAATCATTCAAGTGTGACAAATGCAAAAAAAATAATAATAAAAAAATAAAAAAAACTTTTTCACACCACTGTATGTATATAATCACATGTGGTACTTGTGTAGAATGTCTCTTTCAGCATGTTTTTTTTTCTTTTATGTCTTTTGTCTCATGTCTTTTTCTTTTTTTCTCTTACAGCGACCTTTGAGCCTCCGCTGCTGACAGTAACTACATGTAATCAGTCGCTCTGTATAAGTCTCAGAGCACCTGCTGAGAATCTCTACAGGGTCTACAATTCATTCAAGTTTTACTATAGATTGATGGTCAGCAGTGAAGATAGAGCAGAGGTGAGAGAACAAACTGGTCATGGTTTAATTTGGGTAAATTGAACAGATAATAAGAGAATGATAAGGATCTGTTCCAGAAAAGAATGGTAAGGAACAGTTCCAGTTATTCTTGAACTTGTTTCAGCACAGAACGATTACAAACGGTTCTAACTGCTGTTGAAACCGTGCTGCTAGAATGCAGTGAAGTTGCCTCTCAGGATTGGTCACTTGGCTACTAGTTTCTCTCTGCAGCTGGCCAATTGTGCTACAGTATTTGAGCAAAATAAACAGAAATATCTGATCTTCCCTCATTACACGGTCGCTGTATCCCATACTGTATTTAAACACTTGCGTTACCAAAGCAACGGCTGAAACATTTGTATTATGAGGTCTGTTATCAGCCCTACATAGAGTATATATTTTGAAAATATTTACATGTATATTATATATAAATATATTTAGTATGTAAACATAACATATTTTTCTTAAATACTGTATGTACATGCATGACTACTAATACTATAATGAAATTTTGGTACTGTGACAACACGTACAGAATTGTGAATTTAATATTGTAAATTTAACCTTTAATCATCACAACCTTAATCATTTGTTTTTCACTATGGAATATGGTCTGAAAGAAGACATACTTTCAGACCATAAAACAATCATGATGCCAGGTCATTTGAAAATAAAATTGTACAAGAAATGATTGCGGCTGTGGCATTAGTCAATGGCCACATCTCCCTAGGTACCCATCCGGTTAATCGCTGCCCTTTACAGTAGTGTAATGAAAGTAAACTTTTCAACAACTGCAAATGTTGTATTTGCTGCTCTTTGTGTTCACTTATAGTTTCATGTGGATACTGAAGGGTTAAAGAGTGTGACCCTAAAGGACCTGGCCCCTGGCCGAAGGTACTGTGTGAATGTCAGTATCATTGATCACAGCCCACCCAATAGACCAGCAGTATGTGCCTCCACTCCCGAAAGAGCAAATGTTTCAGGTACCGTATTTTTCTAAAAATGCAATAGCCACTACATTTTTTTAATCTATAGTATCAACGTAATATTGTTGGAGTCTAAGTATAATGCATCAACTAATCATGTCCTTGACAACAGTTTCAATTTCAGTAGCTCTGATTGTTCTTGTATTTGACGTATTGCAAGAGACTGCTAACCAGATCGAGGTGCGCACCAAAAGTGCTAATGTGAAGGCACTTTAATTCATATAGTATCATATCGCAAATCATCAAGTCAAGTCACCTTTATTTATATAGCAATTGAGATTGTGTAAAACAGCTTTACAATGTTAAACAGCAAAATAATGTTTCAAGGATGCAAACAAAATTCAATTCTGCTGTAAAGCAGCTTTAAAAAGCCAAGCATTGCATTGAACTGAACTCTAGTTTGGACCAAGCAATGGCATCTAGTGTGAAAGCGCCCTTAGCTAGAAAATTGGTTAAACTAGACACAGCTGAAATACTGAACATGTAAACGTTTTGTGAATTTGCCCCAAAGTATGCTAAAATCCAGTGTTGTATATTTGTTTTAGATGCCATTATCTCTGTTATCCTGTGTCTGCTGATGGTGCTGTTAGTGATGTGCACACCAAGATTTGTTTCTCACTGTTTCTGTCTAAAAAGAGATCTTCCTTCAGTTCTGGTAAGTCTAGTCTTTTATAACTCAGAAGGTCATGGCAGACATTTTTCATTTCAAGAAGAGATGCAAGAGACTCAGTTTGTGACTAAAGTACCTAAACAGAGGTATATTAAAATGAGCTTTAGCTTCACAAAAATGACTGTTTTCAGAAAGGTTCTAAAGGAATAGATCACCTAAAAGTTCTGAAAATGTACTCACCCTCAGGCCATTCAAAATGTTAGATGAGAACATACCTGGAGAAATTTCTACCACTTGCTCATCAGGGGTGTTGAAACCTGCTCCTGGAGGGCCACTGTCCAGAAGTGTCACCTGAATCAGCTAATCAAGGTCCTCAGACTCACTAGAACTTCCAGGCAACTGTGGTGGAGCTGGTTGGAGCTAAACTCTGCAGGACGTTGGCCCTCCAGAAACAGGATTGGACACCCCTGCTCTGCAGTGAATGGGTGCCGTCAGAATGAGAGTTCAAACCGCTTATAAATACATCACAATAATCACAGTTATTAAACATGACTCCAGCCCATTAATTATCATCTTGTGAAGTGAAAAGCTGTTTGTAAGAAACAATTCCATCATTTTAACTTCTATAATCCATCATAACTCCAGTGCTATTCCTTTATATAAGGCTTCCTTCATTTTGTCCTGTCACATCAAAATCCACCAACATTGTTTTGAGCTATTTTAGACATTTCTTAATCTGTGCATATTTCTCTACCAGTTCAGACGAAACCACCGGAGAATTTCAGCCGGAAGCAATGGTTTGAGTTAAAAACATTGTAATGATGGATTTGTTTATTACAAACACACAGCTTTTCACTTAATTAGATGTTAATTGATGGACTGGAGTGGTGTGGATTATTGCGATGTTTTTATCAGCTATTTGGACCCTCATTCTGACGGCACCCATTCGCTGCAGAGCATCCATTGCTGAGACAGTGATGCAATGCTACATTTCTCAGATCTGTTTGGATGAAGAAACAAACTCATCTTGGGTAGCCTGAAAGCAAGTAAAGTTTAAAATTTTTGGGTGAACTCTTCATTTAATTTTTAATTTTTATTTATTTTTTTTAATACTGTGCATTGTAATTTCTTTAAAATAATTGACTTACAACTGGTTCAACCAGCAAGTTTTCTCAAAGTACTTTATTGCATGACATTGCATAAAGCATACATCCAAATCCTTTTAAGAATAATATATATATATATTAGGGCTGGGTGATTTGGCAAAATATTAAAATCTCGATTTTTTTCAGAACGTTTGACCGATTCTCGATTTTTTTTTTTACGATTTTTAACTAGTCAACTTGAAAATGTAACAACATGATTCAAGTAACGTCTTCTTTATTATCCCTGTAGTTAATTAAAATTATTTTCCAAGTGCACCACACATGAAGTTGTCAACATGATAAACAAATCACTTGTTAAATATTTTTGCAGAAAAAATGCATTAACTACAACTACATCTTGTACAAACTTGTCTTATACATATTATATGTTCAGAAATAATACAAGGAAAATGCTTTAAAAAAATCTCAAAAGTCAAGGTAATTCAAATTCTAAATGACTGAAGGTATAACACCAGTAGACTATTAACTATAACTATAAATGTTCTGTAAAAACAATGAACAAACAGCAGCTTTCAGCCTGTCACCATGGTGCACACATGAAATATCAGACATACAGTAGTAGTTCTAAACAGGTTTTTTATTCGCTTGCGCTGCTTTTCCATTGTTTTTTCTATGTAAACATGAACGCGTTTGACTGTTGCGCTCGCGTCTCTTGCAGCGTCTCATGCATGAAACGGCTTTATAAAAACGCGGCGCTCAAGTTAAAAGAAGTTCAACTCCCATCTTCTTGCATGTTTTTCCTGTTCGACTGCCTGGCTGCGTCGCATCTTTGTTAACACAAAAGCGCATTCTGTGTGATATGAGCGCGTCACACGTGAGCGGTTAATCACGTGTGCCGACATGGGGTTGGACTCGTTTTCTCTTTATTGTTATCATTGGCATATTGTCAAAGTGTCTAATTTTAACGTTTGGTAATATTTTTATTCAAAATCGCGATTTCATTTATTTATTTTATTTTTATTTTTATTTTATTATTATTTTTTTTTACTATCACCTCAATTTCTGTCATTTTTGACATAATCACTAATAATTACTAATGCGTGTTTTTTTTCCAGAGTTCATTTAAGAGTGGGAATAAAGTTCTTCTTGTCACTGCTGGTGAATACATTAACAATCTCTGTGAGGAGAGAAACTCCATCGAAAAGATAAAGACAAACAGGGAGGAAAATGACATGGAAGAAGAGGCAGAGGAGGTTTTGAAATATGAGAGACTAGCGGCACGCTATCTGGACACTCGAGGTTCCCCACTCTCTGTTTTTCCAATGTCCTCCAGCTCTGTTTTGTTTATGAATCAAACTCCAGATACAAGCCTTACGTCTTTCACAGATGCTCAGAGTGGTAGTCTGATTGTGTTTGAAGGCAGCCATATCCATACTGAACCAACAGCCTCTCCTAGGCTCCCTAAAGGAGCAAGCGCACTTCAGAATTTAAGTTCTGTTTTTCCCACACACGTGGAGAATGAAGACAGAGAGAGCAGTGCAGATGTAAACCTGTTTTCTGTGATGTTAGGAGGAGTTTCTGATAAAGCTGAACCTGATAAAACCTGCACTACGGAAAATGTGCAGGAATCATGTCGTCAGCACCTGTTACAGACTTGTGCTACATCCACCTGGATTTCTGATTCACAGTCCCAAAACTCTCAAAAGTCCATTCAGATGAACGTTTTAGAGGAAGAAGATGATGATGCTGATTTAGGGTACTTAAGTCGAAATTAGATTCCTGAGGAAACGAACAGTCTTTTACATCAATTGAGACTGGAGTAGATATGGGAATCTAAAAGCACACGCAAGCATTCAAAAAATTCTGCTAATATAGAGAGATGTATACTGTATTTTTATTGATTTTTTTTTTATTTTAAGTGTTTTTGAAATGTAGCACCACGGGCCAGGCAGGATTTGGAAATGGAAATGGATGTAATGGCAAAACTGTTTTTCATCTAATGAATATGAGTTTTTACTACTAAGAATATAAATGTAAAGTGCTGTAATTTGAATTCTTAATAGTAAGAAATAAACTGGAGAGCTCTCTAATTCAAATGTAATAGCAGTACTAGTAATAATCAAATTACTGATGAGAATTTAGCTCTCTGGTGGACACAGAGCCACGTGATATTTATCCCTTGAAATCCGAATTTTAGCAGGGCAACCCCGCCAAAAAACTTGTATTTTACCCCCCCGAACATGATTTTTAACTGTGGACCCCCTCGAAACGCGATTGGGCTAGTTTTGAGTAGCAATTGGGCGGGGTTTCTTGTGACAACCCCGCCAAAAAACTTGTATTTTACCCCCCCGAACATGATTTTTAACTGTGGACCCCCTCGAAACGCGATTGGGCTAGTTTTGAGTAGCAATTGGGCGGGTTTTCTTGTGAAAACCTGGCAAGTGGCAACCCTGCTGCAGCATTAGCATTAGCCGTTATGCTTTTTTGGCTAAAGGTTGCAGGCTTGCCTTCCAGTGGCTTTGATTAGTTTCCAAGAGTGTGATTATAAATCCAGCGAGGCTGTAAAAGTACTGAGTAGATGTACTTTTCTGTGTGTGATGATGTTTAATGGCCCCGGCGACGACCTCTGTAGTCTCATTTAGCCCCTTGTTAGCAACCGCCTTTTTCAAGACATTACTGTTCCTCCCAAAACATAGCAGCGTGGTAAGACAATTTCTTGCATATTCGCTGCAGGAAATATTATTACTATTTATTTTCAACTAGTTGCTGTACAGTACAGTGCGTGCATAATTATTCAGCAAGTTGATATTCTGATCAAACCACAATTCCATGCCACATTAGTAACTACTGTTAATTTTGTTTATTTTCAGTATGTTAAATCTCATTTTGGCCCATTTTATCTGTAAAAGAAAACATATAAGGCAGTTTTCACTTCCATCCCTCATTAACAATTACTTATAAATGATTATATACTAAATTAATTGTAGTAATTAATAAAGAGTGATGTTGTTTCAAATCTACCTTGTGTGCCATCATAGTACAATTTGTCTCAAGCATAGTCAGGGATGCAGTTTGGAAAATGGGATGTGGTTTATGGAAATCCTTACTCCACAAGAGAGAGAAAGACACAAGAAATTGTGGCCTAAGGTGGAAGAAGCCTGTGCAGCTAGAAAAGCTGCATACTACCTGGGTGCTTATGCTTACATTACTACATTAACAGGGGTTGAGATTCATTTGCATGTGTCTGCTATAAGATGAAAAATCTATGGACAAAAACCCTCTCTACAAACAAAGTTCCTGTTTGCGGCCGAAATTTGCAGCCTGTATGAACTAAATTCCAGACTACCAACTATGTTCACTTCAACGGATGATGCTTCTGTATTGTAAATAAAATTACTGTCTTTTGGTATAATTGTATACTTACATGAGTTGACAGACATTTGGAGACAATCCAAATAATTAAAAAAATAATTTGAAGTTTATGCAGTTTTTCAGATATGGACAAACTATGGCAGATTTACAAAATAAGCTAGTTCATATCTAAAGGTGAAAAGCTGAATGAGCCTTTGTAAGGTCAAGGAAAAGATGGAGAATACCTCCTACATTTTTTTATAAAAATCAGGCTACTTTAAATAGAGTATTCATCAAGAAAAACTTAAAAGGGTCATATGATGTTGCTAAAAAGAACATTATTTTGTGTATTTGGTATAATGAAATGTGTTTATGCGGTTTAAGGTTCAAAAAACACATTATTTTCCACATACTGTACATTATTGTTGCTCCTCTATGCCCTGCCTTTCTGAAACGCGTCGATTTTTACAAAGCTCATTGTTCTGAAAAGCGAGGTGTGCTCTGATTGGCCAGCTATCCAGTGCGTTGTGATTGGCCGAATAACTCAAGCGTGTGACGGAAATGTTATGCCCCTACCATATGATGCGGTGTCCCAGCGTGACGAGACAAAAACATTAAAACCCATTATAAGCGAGGCATTTGTTGCATCCAGTGGGGACATAATTACTGATTATAATGACTTATACTGTCTTTTTACTCGTTGCGTTGCATCGCATAAAACCATAAAACCATGTCTGCATTTGTGATCGGAGAAACTACAAACAAGCGCTACTCTACACTGCCCAAAACTTGCGTTTGAATCATCAGTGGCAAATTCTTTAAATATGAAAACATACTTACAGGTTGTGAGTCAGAACAGCCGGCATTGTAGTCTACTCTACCAGGATCAGGAAACAGTCCTCCATAAAATGTGCTGCACATATGTGGGGGCGTGTTAGAACGAGCCGTTTTAGGTAGTTCTAAAACTCTTAACTTTTATAAAGAATATCTCTTTGGATTTGAGACTTTAGTCTTTGCAACTTTACAGATCTTCTTTATGCACCAAGAGCTTGTAACACTTCAAAGAGAAAGGAAAAATTGAAATCGCATCATATGACCCCTTTAATGATAAAATCACAAATTACCCTAAAGAGATCTCTGATTATTGCTCCACTATTTACAACAGGCTATGCATATCATCACAATTGGATAAAAAGGCTTCTATTGATTTTTTTATTCACTGAAACTGACAGTCAAACAACAAATTTGTGACCTTGGAGCACAAAAGCAGTCTTAAGTCGCTGGGGTATATTTGTAGCAATAGCCAACAATACATTGTATGGGTCAAAATGATCAACTTTTCTTTTATGCCAAAAATCATTAGGATATGAAGTAAAGATCATGTTCCATATTGGATATTTAGTAAATTCCCTACCTTAAATATATCAAAACTTAATTTTTGATTAGTAATATGCATTGCTAAGAACTTAATTTGGACAACTTTAAAGGTGATTTTTTTGTATAAAAAAAATAGTTGTATCTCTGCCAAATATTGTCTTAACAAACCATACATCAATGGAAAGCTTATTTATTCAGCTTTCAGATTATGTGTAAATCTCGATTTCCAAAAATGGACCCTTATGACTGGTTTTGTGCTCCAGGGTCACATTTATAAATAATTTGCTAAGCAGCTAGCCCCTTTTCTTCTTCTTCTTTTAAATCTAATTCCAGTTTCCCATCATCTATCACTCAAAGGGTAATTACCTTAATTCCTAAGCCTAAAAAGGTTTGTTTAGTATTGATAACTGGCAACCAATTAGTCTTTTATAAATGTATAAATGAATTGCTTCTGTATTTGCTAAAGGAATAAAAAAAAATTTATTTTATTGATAAAAGTGTGTGTTATCAATGAAACTCAGTCAAGTTTTATTAAAAACAGGCACATTTCAAATTATCCAAGATTAGTATATATATTAGATTATTTTTATTTGGGTAACACAAATAGTTTTATTTTATTCTTAGCTCTTTGGCAAAGTTTTTGATACTGTTGAACGTGGCTTAAAGGCCTTTGGTTTTTGGTGGTTTCTTTTGGTGATTTAAAGCTTACACAATAAAGCAAATTGCTCCATCAAACTTAAACATGGAACCACTTCTAGATGTGAATTAAAAAGAGAAATTAGAGAGTTGTCCCATCTCCCCTTATATTTGTTACATGCACTTTGCTTCATTTAAAAGATGATGAATGACCATGTTCTAAATTACCTCTAGATTTACAAGTGTCCGTGCACAATAGCACTGATAATTTCACCTCTGATCCGTCAACCACCCTTGTACCACAAAACCTTCTGGCCAACCATTGATGAGGCAACAACCTCTTTCATCGATTATTTTCCTGCACGGAAAAAAATGGTTTAGGACTTACTTTTTCACTCAGAAATTGCTAGTAAATTTTACAAATAATTACAAAGAAACTGCAAGCAACACACTGAACTAAGCATGATATCCTTGTTTTATTTAAAACTTCAAAAAAATAATTTTTACAGTAAGTAAAACAACAGAGCAAGCTCATTTCTTAACATTACATGTTCATCAGGTGTACATCTGTTTAAAAAAAAAAAAAGAGTTTAGTCAGTGCACTTTAAAAACATGTCTGTCCAATATTGTTGCTCCCCCATTTTGGTCTGGAAACAACATGGTGGAAAAGTAGAGACAGATTGTCGGCTATGGACATGCTTTTGTTTTGAATTTTTGTGAAGGGAAACTTTGGTTGTTATAAACAGCATAAAATAGCTCCCTGTTACAGAACATTTACTTTTTGAAAGAAAGAGATGACCGGTTCACGATTGCTGCCAAACCGAGGCGGCTACAGCGGTCTATTGCGCTAAATAAAGCAGTGCCAATACGCCATTTATTGTTTCAATTGTGTTATACAATTGACAGAATTTGAAAGCTGGGACTTTGTAACAAAGCTAATGTTTAGTGTATCGTTTTGTTCATACATCAACTGAAAAACAGCATATATTAAAAAAATAGATTCTTGGGATTTAAGAATCAATATCGGTTCATCAAAATGAAGACTGAATAAATACAAACAAAAACATTGTCAGTCCAGCCCTAGATGACATGACATTTTGTTTTCACAGAATAGTTTAAGTTGGCAAAATAAATGATCAATAATCATTGACTTTGATACCGTATTACTACAGTCTCATTTCAGCAAGCAAGGGCTTCTGTTCTGTTGTGATGATCATTTCAGATTTCTCCTCACTGCTCTGTTTTACATCGGCTCCTATACAAAACTCATTCTTATGTGTCTGAATCCTGATTGGTCCTTCTATCTGCTGATTTTCCTGAGAGCTGTTTAGCTCCTTGTGCAATATCCTTAGCTCACAAAAGTGCTCCTTCAACGGCGTGCTCTCCTGCATGGCCGAAAGTATTGAAGACCGTTGTGACCAAAACTCTAAGAGAACAGCCAGAGAGAAAGTCAGTAACAGAAAACAGCTCATTATGCTTTACCTCTCTTGTTCTTTCATTACTTTTTTTAGGTCCTCTGGCAGGTCAGCATCAGGGAAAATAATTCTGCATCCTCTGTAGCCAAACCACACAGCCAGAAAGATCAGGACAACAGCGACTAACACCACCAGAAAACTGACCAGGAGCACAACTGCTATAAGCCAGGACTCTACTTCATCTGAGCAGACAGATAAAACGGAACAATACAGGATGTTGAGATTAAAGGTTAAATCATCACAATAAAACGTTCAGTAAATGTGTACGACACCACAAACATAAATATATAAACATGCAGCGTCTACAGTACAAATGTACAAATACAAACTGGTTTGCTTACTGCTGGAGGTGTTGGTTAAACAGGTGAAGTTGCTGGTCTGACTTGTATTGCTCAAATACAAAATCTCTACTTCAACGCAGTAGTTTACAAGAGGCTCCAGTCTTGGTAACATAACTCTGTTCTGCTCTCTTATTAGTTCTTCCTGATGAGAATAAAAACAAAGACACATTAAGCAGGAAATGTCCTGACGATGTGAAGGACATAACCAAAATAAATGTTTGCTTTTGAAGGGAGATGTGTGTTCAGATTGGAAACTGCAGCAGGAGCTTCAAAGAATGGGTTTCCATGGCTGAGCAGTTGCAAGCAAGCCTCACATCACCAAGAACAATGTCAAGAGTCAGCTGGAGTAGTGTTAAGCAAACTGACATTGGACTCTGGGAAGATAAATAATGATTGGTGGGCAATTCTGTGTTTGGCAGATGCCAGAGAACCTTACCTGCCTGAATGCATGAGTAGTTTGGTCAGGGAGGGATAATATTACGGGGCCGTTCATAATCGCAGATGAATCGCCTTTCGATTATGAATGCGATATTGCGTAGCTTGTCAGTGATCTACGGCTCTGTGTATTAAATGTCACTCCATCAGATAGCAGGTGATGGCGATTTACTACTAATCACAGAACCGGCTTTACTGACGAGATGCGCATGACAATCACATGTGATTTATCGTGCAGCCCTATTTTCAGGGGTTGGGCTCAGCCGCTTACTTCCAGTTAAGGGAAATCTTCATGCTTCAGCATACCAAGACATTTTGGACAATGCTATGCTTCAACATTTGTGGGGACAGATTGAGGAAGGCCCTTTCCTATTCCAGTGCACAAAGCAAGGTCCATAAAGACATAGTTGGATGAGTTTGGAGTGGAAGAACTTCACAACCCCATCAAACATTTTTTGTATAAACTGGAACAGAGATTGTGAGCCAGGCCTTCTTGTCCAAAAGCTTGAACTCACAAATGCTCTACTGGATAAATGGGAAAAAATTCCCACAGAAAAACTACAAAATCTTGTGGAAAGCCTTCCCAGAAGAGTGGAAGCTGCTGTTGGTGTCCCTGTCCCTGTTTGTGTAATAGTCAGATGTCCCAATAAGGTGCCTATAACAACCTTCTAGTCTAGGGCAAAGTCATTGTGTACATTAACAAAGACTTGGGACAAATATAATGTAATTTAATGGAAAAACTGTTTGAGTGGCACTATTGTGGCATGGTAGGATTTTAAACAGCCTTTAGAGTCATAGCACCACAGACAGGAGGCAAGTGGTGCCAGCGGTGTGCGTACCGGTGTGGCTTCAATACACTGAATTCATATGAATTGACTGGGTGACTGACTGTCCTGCGGAGGAGAAGAATTGTTGAAAAAAATTATATTTGCTTTCTTTGCTCACAAAAAGTATTCTCTTAGCTTTGTAAAATTATGGTTGAACCACTGATGTCACATGGACTGTTTTACCAATGTATTTCCTACATTTCTTGTTCTAGGAACATTTCAGTTAAAAATATCTTAATTTATGTTCTGAAGATGAACGAAGGTCTTATGGGTTTGGAACGGCATGATGGTGAGTAATCAATGACTGAATTCTCATTTTTGGGTGAACTATCCCTTTAACACTGTGTTGTTACCTGGATGATCCACTTTTTTTTTTTTTTATGAGTCCCTTGATTGTCCTGAACACTTTTAAAAGACCCACTGTTTTCTAGCATTTTCTGCATATTTTAATCTTGTGAGGACAGTTGAGGGACTCATAATCAACTGTTACAAAACATGAAAAGATGATCACGAGGAGAAAAGATTGAGCATGAAGACAACACGACTCATAAAGAGCAGTAGGGTGTAAACTTTAGGAATGATGATCTTTGAATTTTTCTTAATTTTGTTCAGAGATCACATTTTTTTCTTTTAGTACTGCTTTTTTTCATTTAGCACTCCACAAGAGCTAATTACATGATAGAAGATAATGTTTCCCAGAAGACACCATACAATTCAAAACATTTAAATTACAATGTTCCATTTGTTCCATATTTCAGTAGTCCCTTTAAAGTTTTTAATATCTAACCATACAATGTACATTATTTTCTGCAGCAGCTCACTCTGTGTCCTCCGGTATTTTTCAGATGTGTTTAATCCATAGAACTTTGTTCTTTATTACTGTGAAGTGATGTGACTGGTGGATGTTAAAGACTTCGAGTTAAATCTAACAAGCATAGACCCACATGTAGACTATATGGCGAAAATCCACTCGCTTCATTATGCTGCGTGTTCATGCAGGGCTTTTCTTTTTTGTGTGCAGAAACCTTTCGCCGGAAATCAGGTTGCAGACAACACTAGCGAATCCATGAATTATTAGGCTATCGATTTATTTTTTATCAAACTATCACGTTTATTTTTCAAATCCACTGGTCACAATTGAAAGCCGAGCTCAGAAATAGGCTTGTATCCATCAGGCAGGCACTAATATAAAGAAACCTAATAATAAATTGAATAAATCAAAGTAATGGAGGCACCGGGATTCTTCCTGACTGACTGCGGGGCTGCAGGCTGTACACACGTCAATGCCGTTTACGTTCGGGTCCAGTCGGGTTCGAAAATAAATGCCGTCGGGTCAGACTCTGGTCTAATTTCATCGGGTCTGTCTCGGGTCGGGTTTTTCTTTAAAAAAAATTCATTTATGCACATCGGGTTCGGGTAAGAAGTGATTCGGGTCGATTCGGGTCGGGTACAGATTTTAGGACCCGAGAAGACCTCTAATGTGAAGTAAGATTCACATTAAGTTATAAGTTATAGAAACTGATTTTTTCACCAAAATCATACATATTTGAAATTCTGTTTTAAACTGAACAGTAAATGTGGTGAGTGCCAAGTTTATGCCAAATGCAAATGTATACAGGAACAAACTGTGATAAATGTTGAACACTAAATTAAATTAGCAATATTCTAGTAAGGGGGGGTGGGTGGTGGGGGGTTGTTTTCTTGCAGTAGAGTACAGGTTGAATGGTGTGTTGTGGGTGGTTTTGCTTCGAGGCCCAAAAACGTCAAGACGTCAATGCATTCATTACCTTTTTTGTTTCTCCATTTTTCCAGAAACGAATGAGATTACAAAGACATCCCTCAAATTCTTTTTTTTTCATAGGAGGATCAGTGATACCAACTTCTGTTTGTCCTTTTCTGCTTCTCAGTTGTACATGAGGAGTGCTAATCTCAGCTGCAAACACAAAACACATACACATATAATTAAACAGAATGAGACACAAAATGCTAACTATGATTATTAATAAAATGCAATGTTTGATATTTAGTGCATTCAGGAAGCATGCACTAAAGAACACACACTTTTTTTCACCTTTTGTATTGTTGAAGCCTTATGCTGAAATTCTGTAAATATTTTTTCCACATCAGTTTACATTCAGTACCCCATAATGACAGAGCAAAAAAACTAATTTCTGATAAATAATGAGAGGAATGACAGTAATGAGAGTTTGTCATTAAGGATACATATATTTACATTTACATTTAATCATTTACCAGACGCTTTTATCCAAAGCGACTTACAAATGAGGACAATGGAAGCAATCAAAATCAACAAAAGAGCAATGTTATCTCAGCTAGCTTAACGCAGTACACATAGCAAGGTTTTTTTTTTAATTATGTAATAAATAAAAAGAAAACAGATAGAATACAAAAAGATTAGAAAAGCTAATGTTAGTTTTTTTTTGTAAGAAAACAAGCAGTTAATAAATAAATAGAGTGCAAGTCTATAAAAGTCTCTAAAAGGGACAAGTTTAAAAAAATTTTTTTAGAATAGAATTAGAATAGAGAGTGCTAGAGTTAGAGGGTCAAATAAAGATGGAAGGGATGAGGGATG